TTTAAATATATGTCAGTACATGACAGAAAGTCATTGACAGGGTGTGTATAAGAGAAAGTGTTTGGGAGAGTACCGTAGCGCAGTAAGCACACAGTGGACTATCGTGGAATGTCACACTAAGATTAGAGTTTTGGGAATCAGCTCTGGGATGTGTCATATCCACAACCCGTTCTGATTCCTCACAGCGTGAGTCAAACACATCCCAGCCTCGTAAGCTGTCAGAGGCGCTGGGTCTGTTAGGCAGGGACAGTAGGTGGAGCAGGGCAGGTGGGGGAGGGTGATTATTCTGAAGGGCGTGTGACATTCGTTGCTTGCTTTTCTCAGTGTGAAATCAAATGCACAGTAATAAACATGTACTCATTAACTACTCATCATCCCAACTGTGTGTGAAGTCCAAAGAAGAGACTACAGTACACACCTCATATCAGCAGTGTATCAGTGGTTCATCAATCATTTCCCCATCATACTGCACACTAGATACTGTGGTATCTTTAAGTATCTTTAAAAGTAACATACACACATGTTTGTATGTATGTGTGTGTGTGTGTGTGTGTGTGCTGGGTCCAAGTCATTAACCCTTTCCCTGCCATTGACAGAATTTCCCAGTTTTCCATGTAGGGGGCACTGTTCCATATCTTCTGTAGTAATGGATCTCTGGATCAAAACACGGTGAAGAAGCAGAAAAAGCAGAACATTTAAGCAGATGCATAGGCAAAAAACATGGCGTAAATGGCATGTAAATCAAAACCGACTTGCGTTACCAAATGAAATGTCGACCCAGGAAGTGATACAGGACTGTGAAGCTTTGGGAGTGTTGATGGAAGCAATCGACATCATTCTGAATCCGATCCAAATGTAGTCTTTGACAAAATGGGATTTTTCTCAGCTTTTTATTCAAAAAGTTGTCTTTTTTTAAATGTACCCACATCAAGAGTTAATAAAAAAAAGAATGCATGCAGCTATAGACTTTATGTAGCTCCGCCCCTTTTCAGAGCTGCGCTCGTTGTCTTCTGTCTTGCGTTTGTATTTCCACAGCAAAAGTAAGGTCATACGAATTTATGAATGAATGGCTTGTTTTAAAATCTTAATGTCTTATCACATCCACTTCGAACATTACAATGCTCATAATAACTTTCGTTAAAGGGTTAGTTCACCCAAAAATTCTGTCATCCAAATCCGTAAGACCTCCGTTCATCTTCGGAACACAAATTAAGATATTTTTGATGAATTCTGAGAGCTCTCTAACCCTCCCATAGACAGCAATACAACTGAAATGTTCCCAAGTCCAGAAACGTAGCAAGGAGATCTGTAAAATAATCCATGTGACATCAGGGGTTCATCCGCAATTATACGAAGCTACGAGAATACTTTTTGTGCGCAAAAAACCCCCCAAAAAACGACTTTATTCAACAATTCGTCTCCTCCGCATCACCCTGTAGCGCCATTTTGGTGAGTATCAGCTGGACGTAAACAGCGTATGCTATTCTGTGTCAGCTGCGTCACACGAATACGCTGTTTTCATTCAGATCAAATCACAACAACGTAGGAAACCGATCCGGCGTGACCGGAGTATCCGCTGGACGTAAACAACTGCTGCGTCACGCCGGATCGGTTTCCTACGTTGTCCATTTCGATTTATCGTGCAGCCCTACTATAGAGCTACCGAAAAAATGGAAGTTTGAAAACAAAATTCTAAAGATGTCTGCGCAATTGATTCTCTGATGCATAAGGTCTATAATAATACTAACTTTTGTTGTTGTTGTTGAAAAGCAGAGGTTCTGTTTGACATATTGCATGTTCAACATATTGCCATGAAAGTTTTGTGAAAATGCTCATAGTGGTTGCTGGCAAGGTTTTTTTTTATTTTGTATTTTATCACTGGCGGGGAAAGAGTTAATGAATTGAGTTTGAGTGGGAGATCTTTTTATCTTAACTTTATGTTTTTACTTATTTTTTAATCTTTCATGTTACACGTGACATGGATTTGTCTGTACTCTGAAAAAAATTCTGTGTCCGAAATGTCCGAGTCCAGGTTCATACGTAATTGCAGTCCAAGTCCCGACTCTCGAGTCTGCTGGGTGGTGGCTTACTGCCTCAAGTCAAGAGCCCACTGCTGGTCTTAGATATGTCTCGGGTTCTTTCAGGTGTAAATCTGTCAGATTTATCACGTAGTGTCATTTGGGTGTGTCACTGTAATTGTGTGATTGACCTCACCCTTTAAAACAGACCTAGTGTCTGCATGCAAGTATGCACTAGTAAGACCAACTGGAATCGTTTGGTCCGCGACCAAAATCAGTAAGGTGTAGAGCTGATCTCGAATGCTATCTCGCCTAATCTGTCATAATCTGCTATGTTTTATTGCAAATTGCGGCACGGTGTAAGAACGTACCCAAGTGGGTGTGTAAATGTGATTCTTTAGTTCACTAGACTAGGAGCTTGAGAAAACACCCACACCCAGTGTTCACACAGACACTTGCTATCGTTCACCTGCAGGGCTGGCAGGAGTCGCTGCGTGTTGCGTTTTTTGCGTGTTTTGACAGGTTTTTACTTGGTTACACCCAGTTAGGTGTGTCCTGACGTGAAGGGAGTTAAACTCACAGGACCTAGTTTAGCTATATGCAAAACCTCTTACTATGACCTTGAAGTAAAACTAACTCTAAAGAACCATTTCAGTGATGTGTAGTAACACACGAAAAGACTATTTGTGTCAGCACTAGGCACATTTTGGCACGAATAAACAACCACAAGCTTTGCAAACCAACTGACATCTGCTTGGTATTGCTGTTGTGCGGTTTAGAGAAAATGTTTGTTAAAAAACTCTGTTCTTAGTGGCAGCCCAGCCGCGTGTGTGTGTGTGTGTGTGTGTGTGTGTGTTCACGCTCTCTTCAAGTGTCGACATGCAAGGCATTCAAAATATGTGTTCAGGCTGTTCTCATGATGTTCTGTAAAGTGCAGCGCATGTATTTTTCAGAGACGGTCTAAAATGTAACTTTCATTTCATTACATGATTGGGGAATGTCAAGCCTCTGATTACGTGCATTTTGAAAAGCGTATTGGAATGAATCCATGAAACTACTTCACTGTGCATTTAGGTGCTTGGTTAATTCATACTAATGTTTTATAATATATTTACTGGTGCTCATTGGCTGCTCTAATAAACCAATCAGGTTGTTATTTCCTGAGGCCTGTTCTTGATAGGTCCCACCTCTTTTAGGAATATAAGCAGAATAAAACAGCTGTCATGAGTGCTGGGATGCTCAGGTCAGGTCTTTTTTGCTTATTAGCAATAAAAATATAGCGTGTTTGTGCTTTTGTTTTTCTTTATTGTTATTATACTTTCTATCAGAATTGTTCTGCTGCTTTAAAAAAATTGTTTTATAATTAATATTCATCTATTACAGTTAGTGTTTATACATGTATAATCTTTATATATTTTATATCATTAATTTTTGTTTTTATATATATATTTTTTATATTGTACAAAGTTAGGCTTTTTATTCACTTAATCAGACAATAAACACTATTATAGATCAAAATAACAATATAGTAATAAATATATTATTTATTTTTATATTTTTTTAAATGCTGAGCATAAAGTTAAGCTTTTTAATCCATTTAACCTGAAAATAATCAACTTTATTTATTATAGATATAAATAAATAAAGAAAGAAAGAAATAAAAATGTAATGATAAATATAATTAAAAAAAATGTAAATGATGAATATGAAGTTAGGCTTATTTTATTTTTAACTATATTTACTACATATAGATAAATAAATATATAACTATATAAAAATAAATACAACATTTTTGTTTTTGTTAAATGCTAAATGCTTTTATCCGGTTATTCTGAAATAATATTTACTGGCAGTAATTTATTATCACAATAATTATTGGTTGAACATCAAATATGTTGATCTGTCCTCTCTGCGTTTTTTATTTACACTTGGTCATTTTATGCATTTATGGCTATCCAGTCACGTAAAAAAAAAAGTGCAAATACCCTTCAAGACACATTCTAGATCTAATCAAACTACTTCAGAAGGTTGTTTGAGGTGCATACAAGACCTGACTCGACCAAGAGTAAATACATCTGCTTTTTTTTAACTCCTCCCAAACAGATATTTGCATATAACACAGGAATAGGAATAAATCTGATGATTTATGTCTGTTTTATGGGGGCACATTTATATGGCAAAGTGTTGATCAAATGTTTATACCAAAGCAGATAGCAATTTCAATAAAAATGCAAGAATCTATATTAACCTGTCTGATAAATGCTCTTCTTCTCCTCTGGGGTTCAAAGGTTTTGGTTGGACACAGTCAGAGTATGCTATAAAAAGAGCAAGAGAAATGAAGGATGTGCTGTAGATTACCTGAAGGAGGGTTGGAGAGAAATAATTAATAACGTACGAGGAGGAGTTCGAGTGAAGCCAAGAGACTACAAGGTGCAGATAAAAGTGAAAGGAGAAAAAGTGATGGCAGCCAAATACATTCAGTCTGTCTTGCTTATTTTGAGAACAAGGTTTTATTATTGCCTCGTTTTAACTTATGAATGGATTTGAAGAAACATACTGCTCCAATATTGAGCTTTTGTCTGAAATGGACGGTGTAGTTGTGGGTTGTGTGTTTAAATGTGTGAGAGCTGGAGAAAGAGGAGGGCTTGGTGTGTAAATGTTGAAACACGCAGAGCCGGTTTTGTGAGGTTGTTGTGCTTGCAATCAAGCATTAGCTCACACGCTTTGTTTGAGAAGCCAAGGGTCAAAAACTACCGCTGACATTCCCCCATCACTGCCGCCCGCCCTCCTCTCCCATGATCCTCTGCACCAGTTTCGATTGCTTGTGTTTGTTTGAACTTCAGTTTATAATGCTGTTTTGATCCTGCTGATCAAGAACAGATTGCAGGAGGTCTTAATTACATTTGGTACAATGATTATCACAAGTCAGTTTTAATATTTGTTTAATCTGTGGTTGTTTTTTTGTTTTTTTTCGTTTTACAGGTTTTACTTTTGGACTGTTTGGTTTGAGTCCAGGAGGCCAAAATGGAAATGCACTGTAAGTAGATGCTATTGTCACATTATTAAAACTCTTTGTGATGCACATAATCCAATTCATATTTTCATGTTATGACCGATAATCACTAAATGGCCAGGATTTAAATCTGTTTTTATTTACCATTTTATGTAAAAGAGAAAATGAAAGAAATAAAACACTAAAAGCCTAACTTTAATTGCTGTTGTAAGTGAACATTATAATCTCCAGTATAAAAAATGGATATTAATTTTCATTTAAATTTATTATTTACTCAAATGTATTATTTACTTAATGCCTTAAAGATGAATTTAAATTGAACGTTAGTTGATGGCAAAAAAAAAAAGTCTAAAAATAAAGGAAAAAGAGCATGCACAACTAAATACCTGATATTTAATACTGACTGATAATTTAAATTGAAAAATCTCTAAAATAGTGTTATAAAATGCCCAATCAGTTTAACAGTTCTTTATGAGTTGGACTTTTGGGCTTTGTAATCCATGTTTAATAGCTTTGAGGTCATCTGTCCACCATATTCCATGTTTCAAGTTTTGCTTGATTATAATAGTAACTTCAGTGGGTGTTTTATACGGTTTTGATGAAACCGAGGCAATAGATGAATTCAAACTCGTGTTGTATATGTGTGTATCAGTGGCAGAGGCCCCAGGCACGGTGAAGGTCTCAGAGTGGCAGCAGTCGTATTATGGGACAGATTCAGGCATCCAGTCTGGAGCCACTACGGTTCGCTCAGATGAAGATGGAGCACAGTACAGCACCAAGAAATTCTCCTACACCACCACATTCACAGAGAACCCTGCAGGTGAAAAACCCATCACAAACTAGGGCTGCACGATAACGGTTAAACAATTAATCATGATTATTAAGCATGATTATTGTCATTTAAAATTGTTAAATTTCATCAGAACTATCGCACTTTCACACAAGCAAGAGAACAAGATTTGGTCACAGTAAGCAGTGTAACAGTCGCATGAAAGAAAACAGACTGGCTCTATTTGAGCAGAATATCTCAGTGGAGATCTCTAAACTTTTACTTTAATGTCTGGTGGTGTTATCAGCTCATCAGCACTTTTTCCGTAATGCAGTTAGCATGTGTGTATGGTTTCCAATTTGGGAAGATTAAGTGAACCACTGGGCTGAAAATGTATTGATTTAAAGGCACAATATGTAAGTTTCGCCGCTAGAGGGCGCGTATTCAAAATAAACAGAGACAAAGGCGTAGTTTGATGACGCCGTGACTGAGTGTGGAATCATGGGAGTTGTGGTCTTCATCCCCACAGCCGATGCAATCCGACGGGACTCGGGCAGAAATCATGTTCATGGATGAGCTAATGATTTATTAACGTAGTAGAATGAAGCAGGGTGAGGCTGAAAGCCGTCGAAGCGAAACGAGGCTGCTGAGCGAGCGTGACACACGGCTCGAAAGCAGCGGAGCTTTTATTATGCCACAGTCGACCGCTTCTGCTCCTTCCGGTCGTGCGTATGTGGGGTAAAGCAGCGCTGTTTTATCATACTAGATACGTTTGAAAGTTCTGTTATAATGCTACTCTGTGCAGTCGTCACCGGTCTATTAAAACACACAACATTTTAAAGCGTCTTTGGTAATCGAGGAACTGGAAATCGAGGGGTTATGACGTCATTGCCAGGCGACACAATGACACTATGGACACGGTCCGTGTCACTAGTTAAAATTGCTTATTTCTCTGGATTCAAACATTCTTCGAAACATTTGGGATAATGTAAGTACACAAGTCAGCAAAATATATAACACTGTTCTTGTGGTTTTTTGATATTTTAATAAAACATTTTTACATATTGTGCCTTAGTTAGTTCATCCAAAAATGAAAATTCAGTCATTAATTACTCACCCTCATGCCGTTCCAAACCCGTAAGACCTTCGTTCATTTTTGGATCACAAATTAAGATATTTTTGATGAAATCCGAGAGCTCTCTGACCCTCCATAGACAGCAACACAACTACCACGTTCAAGGGCCAGAAACGTAGTAAGGACATCTTACAAGTTTGGAATGACATGAGGGTGAGTAATTATTGACAGAATTTTTATTTTGGGGTGAACTAACCCTTTAAGAGAAAAGCTCTGATTGGGGGATTTAAACTCTTGACATCTGGCAACCCGCAGCCATGAAAGCTTGTGGAGGCTTGTTGCCAATGCAAGATAATGCAGATGCCAAATTAAAATAAAACATTTTTAGTATAAATAATCAGCAAACATCACAGGCAATTATGCTTAATAAATTGAGCAGAAATTCTTTAATCATGATTAAAATATGGTTTATTGTATGCTGTACATCAAAACTATTATGTAGCGAGTTTTCCCTTATTATTTCTACCAATTGCCTTCGCCAGGATCCACGGTATGTTGAACTGCAGATTTATTTCAGATTCTTTTCCACCAAAATAAGCATAGAAACTTAAAAAAAAAAGTTAGTTTATAGTTGTCTAAACCCTAGTTCACTCTCTCCTATAGACGTGGAGTCTCAATATAATATGACTCGGGCCCAGCGCATAAGAGCGGCCATGTTTCCTGAGACGGTGATGGAGGGAACGGCCGTCCTCTCCACGCAGATGGATCTGTCCCAGCAGACCAATGTACAGAAGCTGGCCGAACCGTCTCAGCAGCTCAAAGCCGCCATCATTCATCTCATCAACTACCAGGACGACGCCGAACTCGCCACCCGCGCCATTCCAGAGCTCACCAAACTCCTCAATGATGAGGACCAGGTACCTCGCTGCTCGTGTCGAATATTCAATCTCTGCTTTTTCTATTGTATCTTCATGTCCTGACCTCTGACCCTCTCTCTTGGCTTCAGGTCGTGGTGAATAAGGCAGCAATGATCGTGAACCAGCTGACCCGCAAGGAGGCGTCCCGCCGGGCTCTGATGCAGTCCCCGCAGATGGTGGCCGCTGTTGTGAGAGCCATGCAGAACACGTCTGACATGGAGACGACCCGCGCCACAGCCAGCATCCTGCACAACCTTTCACACCAGCGCGAGGGGCTGCTCGCCATCTTCAAATCAGGAGGCATTCCCGCTCTGGTGCGCATGCTGAGGTGAGAGAGTCACACTGAAGTAAAGGACTAGCTCACCTGAGAATGAGACTATTGTTGTCATTTATTCACCCTCATGTCATTTGAACAACATAGCTATGTCAAATTTTCATTTTTAGGGTAAACTTTCGTATATGTGACCCTGGTCATAAGGGTCAATTTTTAAAAAATTTAGATTTATACATCATCTGAAAGCTGAATAATTCCCGCTCTGGTGCGCATGCTGAGGTGAGAGAGTCACACTGAAGTAAAGGACTAGCTCACCTGAGAATGAGACTATTGTTGTCATTTATTCACCCTCATGTCATTTGAACAACATAGCTATGTCAAAAGTTCATTTTTAGGGTAAACTTTTGTATATGTGACCCTGGTCATAAGGGTCAATTTTTTTTAAATTTAGATTTATACATCATCTGAAAGCTGAATAAATAAGCTTTCCATTGATGTATGGTTTGTAGG